CTGCTTTACCAAGGTCCACTAGATTGTCCCCCTAAGGAGTCCATAGCTGCTGAAGTCCAACTCAACCTCCATCGAGGACTCCTTAGATCAGTTCTCTGGAGAAAATCCCTGACTGCCATCTCCCTTATACATACCCTTTTCAGCTTGATGCAGCCAGATCAGTCTTCCTCCCTTCTCCCTTAAGGGCAGTTAGGGACACTTGTTCAGAGGGGGAAATGTAGTAGCTTAGTTATTAGGACAAGGTACTTAGAGAAGCCTAAGGCTAGGGTCAGATAAAAGAGCTAATACAAGCAGCCATTTAATCAAGCAGCTCGTTAAGCAAGCAGCCAGTTATGCTTAGAAATGAAAAAAGAAAACACAAGAACAAAGGATAAAAAGTTGGGATGAGAACAGAGAGATAAAGACTCTTCCCTCCAGGGGAGTGCTAATTTAGTTAACACGTTTAACAATTGTTTCCAGACCCCAGATTTCAACCAGAGAAATAGATGCAAGATGACCAGTTTTCTTTTAAGCTGTTTTAAACAAGGCCTTGTACTCTGCCCATCTATATAAGGCCAAGACAAAGAAATCATGTTGGACTTCTTTTCCCTTGAAGGGACAGTCAGGACCCTTAGGTGGAGTTAGATTAGGGAGCCAGACCCCTTCAAGAAGTAAGAAGGAAATAACCTCTGCATTGCAGCAAGCAGCTGAGCCGGCAGCCTGCGGTTTGATACCTTCTGTGTAGCTGACACTGATCCACCTAAATTCCCCTTCAAGTAGGTTACTTCTTCCATCAAAATTCCCCTAGTGGCCCACCAAACCTAGTCCCCTAGCAACAAGTCCAATAACCCATCAAGTAGTGACCCTCAGAGGGGTTGAAAATGGGCTCCTACCCCATAAAACAGGACCACAGCCCCAAATTTGATGGTGTCCCAGCTCTGGACCCCCTACTCCTCTGGAGTAGCTTCATACCACTTTCTCATGAAATACCTGTAGTAAAGTTGCTTTGCATTGGTCTTTTTCTATGTCAGAGAGAGAGACAAGCCCAGCTAGGGTGAGTCAGGGGGCCCTAGACCCCAGACTCACTGGATGCAACACCCTCTTAATGGTATCTACCAAGAGCTTTTTCTTATTATAATTTCTAATAAACACTGTCTTAAAATCCTCCTTTTATCCTCAAATTTATTCTTCAATTTTGAGAGACAAAGAACTCAGATTTATACAAAATTACAGTTACAGTAACATAAAGCTGATCAACATACCATCTCAGCTAAAAATCTGCTCCCTAAGGAACAAATTAAAGATAGTACAATTAAATGGACAGGTCAGCCTCTTGATATCATTCAGGCTGCAACACACTTGGGACAACTAAAATCTACCGTCTTGCAAATTTGCTTATTATAAAAACAGAAGTATGCCTCTAAAAACGATTTAAAGCATAATTATCTCAGAATGTTTACCTGTACTGTACTATAAAAATCAAGACACTAAAAACAAAACACACAACAAAAAACATGTGCTCCAACTCATCAGTAATGGTGAGGTTAAGAAATGCTAGTCTGGGTCCGGGGATTTAGCTCAGTGGTTCCGGCGCCTGCCTCGCAAGCGCAAGGTCCCGAGTTCGATCCCGGGCACAAAAAAATAAAGTGAAAGAAATGCTAGTCTGTCACTAAACTCCTCTAGTGGTCAGTTTCTCAGGAGTCCTTAGGTGTGGGTGTTGAGACACGCAAATAGAGCATCTTTATTTAACCTCTTGGACAATTTATTCAAAGAATAAACTGTGCTGGACTCTATTGATTAAACTCTAGTTTTTGTGGGGGGTTTTTGGTACCAGGGATCGAACTCAGGACCTTTCACTTGCGAGGGAGGCAGCGGAACCACTAAGCTAAATCCCCAGCCCTTAAACTCTAGTTTTAATGGTACAGAACCATATGTTTTAAATCACAGTGGTGGCGAACCTATGGTATGTGTGCTGAAGCAGGCTGTTTGTATCATTGAAAGCTCTAAAAGGTTTGCTATCACTGCTATAGGATGACCTTTTCCTGTTGGAACAGATTACAAATCTACAGATCTCCTTGGTCAAGACTACTGTATATGTTTCACAAACCACCACCAACAGCAGTGAAGAAAAACTCTTCCTGGCCCTGGCTCACAAGTAGGGAGGTGTGCACCCCTTCATTTATGAATGATCTAAGAGCACCACTTTTCATTGGACACCATCTTGTGAAAGTTGTTGCTAATCACCAGCCTGGAAAGCCTTTGTCTGGGATGAAGATTCTCCATGTTGGTCATGGTGGTGGATTGCTAAGTGAAGGAAACAGGTGGGTTTTCTTGGTTTTCTGTTTTGTTTTGTTTTTTGTGGGGTTTTTTGGTGCCTTTATCCTCTAAGGCAGCTTGGGGCTTCCTCTACTGAATTAATCTTGTGAATAGAACATTAAACAGCTCAGTGCCATGAATCATTTGATCAGTTTCTGGATGGGAGTACAGAGTATAGTGTGTTGCCTGAAGGAGATTGTGGAAGAGACTGCAAGAACATCTGATAGCTTTGTAGCTTCTGAAGTTGCAGACCATGTGGTTGATCTAGAAACAATTATACAGAATTGCTGTCAAGTGCTAAAACCTGGTAGCTATTAATTCATTCCTACAATCAACAAGACACATCTGTTCTATGCCTTGGAAATTGTTTTTGTGAGAACAAATTGCAGGAATTGTACCAGAAGATAATGTATGGGAGAAATTTGTTGACCTGAAAGCTAGAGAGCATTCTGGAATCAAATTGTCAGTTCAGAAGGTAGCAGGAATGCCCTAGAGCCCCTTCTGGGTTACTGGGTTTGGAGAGAAAATACCAGCCTTCACTGTGTAACCATGCTGTGAGGTTCCTGGTACAGGAACACCCAGGGCCTGCTGGGTTTGTTTTGAAGGAAGAAATAGAAGAGCTCCTAGCTAGCACCTCTCCCAGCTAGGTGTACGTGAAGACCTGAAAAAGTGAATTTTTTTTTCAAAGAACTGTAGTAAAATGGCTTGAAAGTCTGATGTTTACAAATACAAAAAGTATACAATTTATCTTTTGAGAGAAAAACCATGAAGAAAATAACATCAAAGGGACTAAATTCTCTGACAAAAGTTTTTATTTCATCTGATATCTACTTTCCAAGGAATTAGTCTATGTGTAAAAAGTTTAGTTAAGGTATTATGTGGTCTAGGAGTTTAAGTTCCTTCAGACTTTGTTGTATAAGTAGCGTATGCATATTTCATTTCATTCATATATATATATATATATTTTTTTTTTTTGGCCTGCTTGTATACACATATCTATGTAATTTGTTTTAAAGGACTCTGTATAACCTATGTTCCTCTTCATTAGGGTTTAGTTAAAGCCAGTCGAGTTTCTGATTGATGAAAGCCAAATGGTTTCATATATTTGGGAAAAGAAAATAACATTTTCCTTTGTTGTAAACGAGTAGTTAAATATGTGATAGATTTGGATTCAAATATTGAAATCAATGGGGTCAGAGTACATTGAACACACTTCTGTCAACAATTCCTGAAATGTTTTACGGTGCTTTCTTTAAGTGGAAAGGATTTTTTTTTAACCTACTTTGTGTTCCTTTAAGTTATGGAAGTTTCCTTTTTCTGCTACCATTTTTATAATTAAAGGGACTGACTTGGAGAAGGGGGTAAAATTTTTGTAAAATCCTTGACTAGGACCACAAATCAGTAAAAAGCCACAGTTGGAAAAATAATGCCCAAGAAATGCTGTCTAGCAGGAGGGAGACCAGAGTAGGCACTGGCTCCCCTGGCAACCAGGGGACAGAGGGGGCTGCTACAGGGAGGACCTAGAAACAATCTTATCCTGGCTCCAGTGGCATCAGGTTGCAGATCAGCATAGAGAAAAGGGGACCTGGGTAGAGAGCTGGGTCTTCCAAGTAGAGAGCCTGCTCTGGGCAGCCTCATCTTCCAGGAGAGGGTAGAGAGCAGTTTGCACCTCATGGGAAATTCCTGCTCCAGTTTTCACCCACGTTTGGAGGTGTACTTCTGTATATGCTGTTTTGGGTAAGAGGCCTGTGCTATGTTGACTTGCAATAATTTCTTTCACCTAAGCCTGACCTGAATGTCTACTCACAAATTAAGCATTTCATTCTGGTACCATGGGTAGGAATCACTGAACTACTAGAAACTTCTGTGAGTTAAAATTACTTCAGGAGGATGTGATGCAGCTAAAGAACTGATAATCAATGAATGTAAGTGGAGGAAGCCTATGCTAGCAATGTTTGTGAGAGTGTGAAGTAGTACCATGTCACCTACAGCCACCTCCCATAGATTTTTGACTTAGAGACCTGAGAAACACAAAAGAGATCATGGTAAGTATCAAAGCAGATATCTAGAAAAGGAATTTGAGTCAGACTGGAGTTAGCCTTCTTTTCAGATATATGTTACCAAAAAGGTGTGTATGAATCCAGTAGAAATATATAGTATTATTTTCTCAAATTTTATTCCCAGTTAAGTACTGATACACCAGGGTAAAAACATTTCATTTATGCAAGGACTAAGGAAGTTTATTTTACAAGTACCCAGGAAAGTGAAGAAATAAACCAAGTCCCCATGCCAACTGGGCTGCAAGCCAGCAGAGAACCCTTGAAGGCATCTGAGAAACTGAGAAGACATAAGATCTTGGCGATCTAACAGGTATGACAAAGCCACACTGTTTGGGAGGCAAAAAGGATCCTGCCTTTCTCTGCTGGGGTTTTCCCTAGCCTGGGTCCCTAGTCAGTGTGACACACAGCCCTGTCTTGCCGTGGATGCTTCAGTGGTGCTGCAGGAGAGGTGAAAGCTCCAAACAAGGGCCTTTAATTCTCTAGAGACTCCTGGGGCTGCCTGCACTGAGGGTGTCAGAAATGGGACCCAGAACTCTCAACCCCCTTCCTCCCCTACCAGAATCCCTGTGAACTCAACCAGTCAGTCCCTTGGAAATAGCAGTTCCAAATGTCAAGTGCATGGAGCCAGACACAGTAAGACAAAAATAGAAAGTGTGATTCAAACTTTATTGGGATCACACAGGCCTGGGGCAGGGACCCCACTATGGTGCAGGGCTGTACACCAGGCAACACTGGTCTTCCTGGAAGTTCTGGGGAGCACAGAGCTGAGCTCCGGAAGTCTCGGCCCAGCTCCTTGAAGCAGACACAGCCACTGATGGGCAGGGTGGTCGGGCAGGCTTTAGTACAGGACACCATAGAGGTAGCATTAGGAGAGGGCTTTGCTAGAGGAAAATGAGGAGCTAGCGCTTTAAAGGGCTTGAATGAGGCAGGGACGAAGTGAGAGAAAAGAGTGTTCACAAGGCTTTGGGCCTGAGAAGGGAAAAGAACCAGAAGGTGGTATGAAGGCTGCAGAGGGGCTGGCTGATCCACAGGGCTCTGGGCAGCAAGAAGAGAACTGGCTTCTCACGCCGGTCTTCTGGCCTTTCAAGGCCCTACTTGTTGCCCCATATTGCCATCTTTGTAAATACAGGTCTCGGGAGGAAGCGGCTGGACTTCATGTAGGCAGAGATCTTCTTTAGACCCTGGGAGTGGGAAAGAAAAAGGAGCTCAGGATCTAGGCCACAGTGAGTTCAGGCAGGGGCATCCAGGGACAGCCTATCCATGTGGCTCAAGTGCTAGAGCACAACACAGACTGCTTGGGTCCAGGTCTGGTGAAGGAACTGTTCAATTTCCTACACCTACTGTCACAAGGGACAACATGGAGGAGCTCTGTTAAAGGCATTTTATACACACTACAGATTATAATACAGAGTTAGAAAATCCACTCAACAGTCCTGCAAGATGGGTTCTACCATCCCATTATCAGATGCACAGAGAGGGGAAGAGACTTCCTCATGCCCACACAGCTAGGAAGTGAGATAGGCCTGGATGCAGCCTGGCTCTGCCTCTCCAACTCTCTGTCTCTGCTGCTCTCCTGCTCTCCCCACGGGAGGACTCGTCACTCCCTACCTCACCGACACTGTCTTTCTTCAATGGGACAATTCTGACTTGCCTGACTTTAAAGGAAGAAGATGGCTCCAGTAGGACAAAGGGGCTCAAAATGTGCCTGGACTCCCTAGGAATAAGCCCAGACCTCATCCAGTCACTCAGCAAATCCTGGATGAACTTGGACATCAGGCAGTAAAACAACTGGAAAGGCCAGGCAGACTCTAATCATTCCCCTGAAAGCAGAAAGTTCAAACTTTTCTACTTGGTACCTGAGCCCAAGCTCACTGTGTCCCAGACTACCTTATCCAGAGCCCTGCTACTGAGGATGTGCAGAATGACACTCAGGTGCTGTGCATCAACATACCAGGAGAATGAGTACAGGATGATTTCTGAAGAACTCAAAATCCAGAGCTGCCTGATTCCAACAAGCCAGGCCAGCTGGCCTCAGGCTGCAACTCTCAGCTTGGGAATTCAGCCCTCCCTCCCCACAGTCTATCAGCTCTTGCACAATCTTCAAGGCCATTCTGCCTGGACCAGAGCCACAGCTGATGAGAACTAGCTGAGAAAGCACATTATGCCATATGGGGGGGAAGGGAAAGCAGATTCCAGGCTGAAAAACCACATAGACTAAGGCCTCAAATTCCCAAACCTCTAATGAAATAGGCTTTGCTGGGCTCAAAAAGGTAGACTCTGGGTGATACATGATTAGCTAGGAGGTGAGGTCCAGGCTGTGCTCCCCAGCACCCGGGTGGTGCCACATGTACCCCACAATCTGGTATGTCTGCTGTCCTCGGCTACACTGAGTCCCAGGAGAGGACTGAGGGGTCTCTGCATCTCCCTCTGAGACTGACACACAGCCTCATACAGAGGAGGTGGAGAGGGTCAGTGAAGAGTAGTAGAAACTAGTGTACTGCCCACTTCACAAATGGAGAATTGGGGCATTAGAAGAAAGCAGGAGAAGGAGGAGGGAGAGAAGGAACGTCCCCAACCATAGAGCAGGTCAAGATAAAATCCTCCAATGGGGCTCCCATATGTGTACTCAGTCCAGGACCAACTACAACCCACAGGGTCTCAGGGCTGCCCCAGATGGATGTCTGACTGGGCAAAGTGCTCTGCAGATCAGATGTCAATACGGTCTGCATCTTGGTGTATCGCATCCACGCAGCCTTGTCCAAGCCCTCCTAACGCCAGCTGCACACACTCCTCACGTGCTCACCCTCCTGCCAAGGGTGCTGGGCTGGAAACCCAGGCTGCACATGGGTCTAAAGCTCTTTTCTCTGAGCACAAAATAGGAAGAACCACCTCCCGTTGTCCTTAGAAGCCAAAGGCTGACACGGAGCCCGGCACAACTTCCATTGGCACTGGACCTTTCAGCAAATGATTTACCCTCTACAGTCTCAGTTCCCTTATCTGCATAGTGGTGCTGGTAATTCTATTAGCCTTGTAGCAATGTTGTAATGATAAACTTGACACCATGGATATGATATGCTGGGCACAAGTCCTGGCAGAAATCCATTGCCATAATAAATGCTAGTTATTCTTCATTTCGGCTTCAAGGAAGCATCTGGGAAATGGGGAAGGGAAAGGATACCTAAGGAGGAAAAGGATATCCAAGAGGAAAAATGAATCAGAGGAATCACCTCAAAGCGGGATATGAAGTCCTTCAGGTTTGGGAATGCATCCAGACATGTAGGCTCAAATACTCGGTTCATCTCAATGATATCATAAGCAAGGAAATCCACAAAAGTGATCTGTAGAAAGCCAAGGAAGAGTGAACTGGAAGCTCAGAGCCTGGGAAGAGTGGCTACTTCTCTCCATTCTCCTCTCCTTTACCTTGTTCCCTGCAAACCATGGTAGCTTCCCTAAGAACTGTGAGAAGAGCTTCATCATTTCAGGGAGTTGGTCCAAGTATTCTGGTTTCAGTTTCTCCTGAGGCAGAAAACAGTTGTCACCTCTCTTAGACACAGAATCCCTGGCAGGAAAGCCAGGCTCCTCAATGCTATGCATGGTCCTGACTGGCCAAGTGTGAATAGCCATCTTCCTGAGATTGGGAATGGGCAAATGCCCAAGTTTCAACTTAATATATCAACATTCATACCAAACATGATCCATCAGAGGTAATGAGAAATTGGTAGGAATACAACGGTGCCCCTGAATTTGTTACCACTGATGTTCAAACCAAGTAGTGTGAGGCAGACCCAAAAGTGCTGTGTACTTGGCAGGCTTTGATCTCAGCCATTAGGCAGAATCAAAGAACCCAACAATTAACTGTGCCCAGAAAAAAAGCTGAAAGTTCTACTTCGTGGGGAGGCATAAAAGGGCTTGGCTTTTGCATAATTTCCAAACAGATGAAGCAAATTTGCCAGGGCAAAAGGAAAATGAGAGAGGAACAAAGGCCATTAGACCAACTTTGAACTGCCTATTGGAAAAACTATCTATCCCTATGGGTGTCAAGGAGACACTACTGGGAAACTAGTTGGAAAAGAGTCTGGAGGTAAGGGTGCCCTACTAGGCCCAGCTTATACTTCTCATAGTTTCAGTCTGTGTATTCCAGGGCTATGGTGCTTTAAAGCAACTGGAAGCCAAGGCCCAGGGCAGAAACCAGCAGTCAGATATGGAGGAATCTGAACACAAGTTTACTCTCCAGGTACTAACTTTCCTACTGGCCCATATCCTAAGATGGGTGAGAGTCTACTGAGAGTTCTCATTTGACTTGACATTGGGGTTTGAGTGTCATTCTGAATGAGTAGTGTTAAGGAGCTCAGGTGGCAAACTGGACTAGAGTACATGGGAATGCAAGGATCTGGGCCAGTGATCTGACTCTGGGGTGGGGTGGGGGGCTCACAAACTCAGGGTTGTAGCAAAGCCTGGCCAGCTGCATGCCCGTGTCCATAAGCTGGTTCTCCAAAATGTCCACACGAATCTTCTCCTCTTCTGTCTCCCCACCTGCAGCCCACACAACAGAGACTCCCCCTCAGCATCTGACCGCACCCAAGCCCATGAAGATGGCCACTGTCCCCCCACACCCAGCAGCCAGCCCTACTCACACAGGTTGTGCTTGCGGGCAATGTAGCGCATGATGGCGTTGCTCTGGGTGAGCTTGTGAGTCCCATCAATTAAGTAGGGCAGCTGCATGGACAACCAGGAAAGGTCAGTTGGGATTCTAGGTCCCAGCATCCCTTTCCTGAGTTAGGGCAGACATGAGACTTGGCCCTCAGTGTATCTTCCTGTGGCAAGCCCTGCACACCTATACTGTAGAATGAATGAATGAGCTGGAACACTGCCATCATAGAAAGACAGCAGGACAACCAGGAATGAGATTAAGTAAGCAGAAGTACTGATCCTAGAAACTATACTAGGATGAGTTAGAGACACCTTTACTTTCCCCAAACCAGCCCATCCCCTGCACCTACATTGGGGAAGTCAAGTCCCAGCTTGAACTTCTCATTTAGCCACTGGCTTCTGTCATAGTCAGGAGCTGTGGTGAGGAAGATGAAACAAATTATCCTAATTTTGTCACTCCTCTAGTGTCACTCTCAAGAATCAAAGGCAAGACTCCCCGATAGCGCATCTGGAATATGAACCACTGAGTCCCACGTTCCAAGGTCACAGGGTAAAGTGTGTTTGCAGGGGCTGTGAATCCCACAGGACTAAGGCTTGCAAGTACTAAGCGGGACCCAACCAAATTATAGGGCCAAACCCCTTGGAATTTTCTTTTTTTGTACCCGGGATCAAACTGGGGACCTTGGGCTTTCCAGGCAGGCAGCAGAACCACTGAGCTAAATGCCCAGACCTGCCTTGGAATTTTCATTTGACATGAGCTTAAGCTTTGAGGATCACTCTGTTGGCCAAACTGCACCCTCAGGGAGGTTTCTGGAAGGGCCAGACTTCTGATACAGCTGAAAGTGAGCTACCAAGGTGAGTGACAGGTATCCAGGGCATGGGTTGCTGGACACTAGTCATCAGGATTGGGCAGGGGTCTGAGCAGGAAGGTGCCATTACCGTCCCCCATGGTGTATCTCTTCTCCTCATAGCTGGTGTCTGTGTATTCCAGGAGCAGGCGGATGGCGTGAGCCAGCTGGGAGAGATAACCCGTGAAAGAAGTCACAGATGCAGGGACTCAGAATAACCTTCACTTCCTCCATATGAACCCCACCTCTCCTAACACACACACACACACACACCAGGAAGCTTGCTCCAGCAAATCCTGAAAAGGATTTATGTTTTAGAATCCGGCCGGGATATTCAGAATGACCTTCACGTCCTCCATATGAACCCCACCCCTCCTAACACACACACACACACACACACACACACACACACACACACACACACACACACACACACACAC